TGAGCCGTGGGCGCTCGGCCCGGCCCGGCCCCCCTCCCGGCTCCCCGCAGCCCCGCGCAGCAGGGACGGGCCCGCCTGGGTTCTCTGGTCCCCAACTGGAGCAACGCCAGGGCTGGGATCCAGCCCCCCAGGGCCGGACACAAGCATGAGGGAAGGAGGGAGGGGGTCGGCCCCGGACAGAAAGGGGGCCCAGCCCGAAAATGGTCGTTTTAAAAATTATTATTAGCATTATCTCTGGTGAAAGCGGGGCCTGATACTCAAAGTTTGCCCCGGGGCCTCTGTACTGTGGCCATATGTTGGGGTGCATGGGCACCTCCTGACAGACCACGCTCCCCACTTCGGCGACGAGCAGGGGGGGCAGGCAGGAGCGCCAGCCAGGCAGTGGGAGCGCCAGGTGTAGTCCTGTGGCTACTTCGCCATGGGCAAGACCCGCAGGAAGGGCCACGGGGGACCCGCAGGAAGGGCTGGCTCTAAGCCTTGAGGCACCTTGAGCTGGAGCAGCCCCCGCTTCCTGCCTACAGCCTCCAACGTGTGATTGCTCATCTGCAATGGGCGCCATGGGGCCACAGGGCATCAGAGACCACAGGGCACGCTGGGCCGCCCATGGCATCTCTCTGACAGGAGCCCATTGTCCTCTGGGCCTGGCAGAGAGCTCACCCCGGTCTGACTGGGCCTTTGTTCCCTCAGGCACTAGTGAAGGAGACTGTCACTCATTGAGGCAGGGCTGGGTTAGCCCTAATGTGTGTGGGTCAGGACTGCAAAGGTAGAAAGCTAGGCTGGGCCCAAGAAGGCCTCAGCTGCAGGATGTAGCAACTTTGTTCCAGTTGTTTGGCAATACAAGCACCCTACAAAAAGGTACTGCTTTTTTACTGACCAGCATCTAAGACTCATGGGGCATCTGCCAAGCTTGACAAGATTTTACTGATCTCTGCATCCCAGCTCTAATTGAGCCTCCCCTTATTCCTCAAAGGACCAGCATCCATCACCATAGTACTTTTCTTGTCCAGAGGGCTGAACGGTGGTTTGAACAGGTTATGGGAAGACAAACCACTTGGCAGCTGTAGTGCATCCTCATAATTTCTCTGAAACAGAAATCAAAATCAGTTGCATGTATTCAGCAAGAGCTGAAAGGACTAGAGCCAGCAGCCTCCTCCCTGGTTTAGGAGGTGGCACATTCAGTGCAGACATTGTGCATACCCACTGGAACATGGCAGCATTGCCATCAAGTTCAGTTTGACCAGCTCAGCCAGCTCACCTCTGGGGACATTCCAGTGACATTGAGTCTGATTCATATTTTATTTCATGTTGTTTTCTTTTAGTGCCTGGATTCAAAGCAAACACAGCAGCACAAGGAAAAAGCCAGGGTTTTATCCTGTTACTTCAGCCGGTTGAAAGGGTTTATTTCTAATGGGATCCAAGCCAGAACCCACAGCAGCAACCTGTACACTGGGGGCTGTGTTCCTCCCCATTGTGTAGCTTACAAGTCTAATGCTGATTTTCTTCTTAGGAGTTTACTCGGTTATGTATCCAGTGCTCTGCTTGTTCATTTTTGTTTGAGTGAAGTCATTCAACCCCCCTGGGAACCAATGCTTTAAGACAGACATCCCCACGATTTTTCAAACAAGCAAATTTTCTTCCTGTCAACTACCTTGTGACTTGCCCCCTAGAGGGGGCCCTTTCCCTGTTTTGAACTGAGGAGCAGCCTACATAGAAGGAAAATAATGCGCATTCATCTAGGGGTATTAAATGATTCTTGGTGAATAAGGAGGAAATATATATTGATTGTTTATAATTAAAATTGATCTCTTTGTACAACCTGCACCCTGTTATGATCATAGAAACAGGACTTAAGAGTTAGATTCTTACCAGGATGCTGACAGCATTTAGGTGCCGGTCGCTTGAGGTGCTTAATTCTTTTTGCCACAACTTTTGAGGATTCAAAACTGTTCCTTTATACTTTGAAATGGAAACCAGAACTTCAGAATGTTTTCAAGAAAATAAATAGTGAAAAGCCTGACTACCAGAAACTTTTCTGTCACAAAGGCAAGTGGAATTTTTTGGCTTCATTGACACAGTATTTTTTAATGTTTTGGCACTGGCCATGCTACCCTTCCACTCCCCACACCAAGTTCAACTTTAAAATACCAAATAACTTCTTTGTTTTATATTGTGCCATCCCTCTTCCCTCTGCCAGTGGTGCCAACCTCAGCCATCCATTAGTCAGTTTCTCATACCAACACCTACATACCCTTCTGCTTTACCGCATGAATTACTTTTCCTGATCTCACGTACAAGGCTTCTACTACCTCCAACACAAATAAGATCTTTGTGAAAAACTCCTGCTGGTGTGACCCATACAGAAACGATGCATATGTAACTTTATTTGAACAAGATGCAGTTAAGTATGAGCTGTCCACCTTCCTAATAACGCTGTGCCCCTCTCACCTACCTTTGCTTGATTGTTTTCTTACACTGTAAGATCCACAGTGAGGCTCTTTATTTCTCCTTGGAAAATGTATAGTAGATTGTGGGCACTATTAGAACACATCACAAATATTAATCAGGAATTTGTGTCCTATGTATTCCAGATATCTGCAGACTCCTGTCTCAAAGCTTCCCACAACAAAATTAGTTATATTTGTCTTATATCTATTTCTGGCCATGGTCCCAAAGCTAGAAATCTCAGAGACCTCCTTGATTTCAAATTTGCAAGACTTTTTCCTTCAGTGTATATTTTGCCTACTGGTCTGTCTGCTGGGAAACTATGCAACACTTTGTGATTACTTCAAATCCTACCCAATTTATGGCCCGTTCTAATACAGGCAGTCCTCGGACTTACGACACAATTGGTTCCTGAAAACCACATCTTAAGTTGGAACGTTGTAACTCAAAACTGATTTTCCCATAGGAAACAATCTTATAAATGGGGGATTGGCTCCTGAATCAAGGCCCAATACCTTATTTTCACCAAAAATAACCCAGAATTTTGTACTAAAAAAATTATAGATGAGTAATATAGCTACATTAATGTATTTATATTGTAAATAGCAATTATACTGATTTGGAAGGACTTCTTTGAGGTGACTTTGCTGGACTTTCTGAAGGGCTCTTGGTTGGATGTTTTGAAGGGTTCTTGGCTGGAGTCTTCTCAGGAGTCTTGGATGCAGGGTTTTCTGGAGTCTTGTCTGCTTTTTTAAAGAAAGTGTCCAAGGAAGTTTGGACAGATGTTCTCCAGGGAGATGGGGGACACAGCAAACTTTTTCTCTGGTGTGGCATCGTGTCAGAACAAGTGTTGTAAAGTCAAAACTGACGTCAGAAAGTTGAAACAGGGTGTCAATTTATAAACTTTGTCAGTGCGAAACGTTGTAAGTTGAGGACTGCCTGTATCTATCTCTTCAGGCTTCAGCAGACCCAGAATAACCTCTTCTTATATAATTCTGTTATTCAAGATATGAAAATTAATCAGCCCTATTAATCAGCCACAGTTAATGTTACCTTCTAATCCAGGCATTTTTATATTCAAACTTTTGCATAACCCAAAATTAAGCTTTATGTGCACAACTATGATGCGCACATAAATCCTGCAGTCTAGCATCCAGTTACCAATTTATCACCTCAAATCAATTTTTATTTTTTACACCTGCAGAATCTAGAGCTGAAAATTTCTATGTAAAGAGTTTATATATATATATAGTGCTTTTAAGGACCACATTGAGACTCTAGAAAATGGAGGCCAGTTTGTCACAACTGCTTCAGGAACAGTAACACTTCAGCACTTAGAATTGCATTTCTCTTAGAATGTATTTCACTTTCGCTTCTGAATTTTTGTTTTGGGGTTTTTATTTCTGTGCTACATTGTAATGAAGCAACTTCCCAGCAAATGGAATGTTGGCTTTGTAGAAACCAAGTAATCCTACCACTAAAGTTATTTATAGCTTGGGCAGCATTTGTTGTTTAGCACTTATGGCTTCTAGCATTTGTTCTTATTCAAAATAATATTTTTGTATAGATGTGCAAATCTGCTTTAGTCGGGAAAGGCTAGCTATTATAACTGTTAATTACCTTATGGGATGGGCATTTAACTTACATACCCAGCTACAATTGCTTAATTACACCTAGAAAACAACTAAAAATAATCTAGTTATGAGACCATGAGATACACAATTTCAATTTAATATTCCAGCCAATTGATATAGATACAGATCGTATATTAAATTATTCTATTCTGTTTTGTTCTATTCTGTTCTATTCTATACATTTAACTTCACCTCATTATGAGCTATGTCTCTGATTTCTGTTTTTTATATACATAAGCCCCTTGTTATTCCATTGTATATTAGTGTAAATGACTGAAATTAGAAGTGATGAATCATGAAACCCAGGTTACAGAAAATGATAGGCGTGTAAGAAATGCTACTATTGAAAATGAAGGTTACCATGAAAAACAATCTTTATCATGTATTTAAAATGTCAGATGTAACATTGGAACATTGAGAACACTGAGAACCTGAGAACTAACACCAGTACATATTAACTTTATTTTTCTTTCTAGTAATATACAAAAAATAATAAAGTGATTTTAAAATTATTCATATAGCGACAGGCAACCCTTGGAAAGGCTACCCAAAATTCAAATATATATCTGAATTCCACATCCCACAAGAGTTAGAGAAATTTATCATTTATGCATTATTCATTGGTTTAATATAATATAAACTATTTGCCACACTTCATGATGTGCAGTTGGTCACCCTAGTCACATGGCACTGTTTCAGCTCCATTACTAGATTGGAAATGAAACTTTTTTAAACAAAAGCTGCTACTAACTGTTGCAAATCTCATCTTGAGTTGTTTGACTAGGTCCTACCAATCTACCAATGAACTCTGGTAAGTGAGACTGACTCTCTATAAACCAGTTCACATGCAGGTGAATTACATTAATTATGATATCAAAAGTGGTTGTCTTTCACTATGAAGGACAAAGACAAATTTATCTTACCTACTGCAAGAAGATTTTATTTTTGCAGATGTAAAATGCCTTACATTTGAAGCAGGTATCCAGGTTGTAGCCATATTGGTTTAGAGCACAGGTTTCCAAACTGTGTGCCGTGACACATTAATGTGTCAGCGGCAGTGTGTAGATGTGTCGCGTGAAATGCAGAAAATTTTGCGGAAGGGCACCGCGGAGCTCCCTTACTCGCGTCTGCTTCCCTTGGCCCCTCCCCCGAAACTGAATTACTGTGTCGCGAAATGATGCATGTCTAAAAAGTGTGTCACCAACATGAAAAGTTTGGAAAGTTCTGGTTTAGAGGAAAAAGTAATCAAGGCTCACGGACAGAGGTGATATCCTCCTGTGAGGCTGTGATGAGGATTGCTGAGACTCCTTACCAACTAAGAACTGCTGCCCAGGGTGGGTTTCCATCTATTGACTCCTCTGTGAAATCCTATGAAATATGAACTTTCATTTCTACCCAGGAGAACTTTTACAATCTTTTCTCTGATGCCTGATGAAGGGTGTTTGTGCCTGAAAGCTTGCGACTAAAGAATTTTTTTTGCCAA